GAAACAGATCTTTGAGTCTCAGACTAGAAAAAGCATGTTGGTTATGAGCTGAAGAACCTTCATGCCAAGATTGATGGGAGTTACAATGACCTCAACAACAAGTTCTGGGCTTTGGAGAACAAGTTTTCTTCTATAACTTTCACCTCTAAGCGCCTAGGGAAATACCATTGAAATGTTGTCATCTCTGCTGCTACCTCTGAGACTAAATTGAATGATCATGAGAAAGAGGTAGATGAGACTGAAGATTCTTCTATGAATCTGAACGTGTGCAGGATGAGAGACAGATTGTAGCCAAGATTGATGCTCAGGTTGTAGAGAAGGTTGAGGAAAAGGTTGTGCCGCCAATTGGAGTCAGAGCTGAGATGTCTCCTTATGACAAGCTCCCATTTCCAAAGAGGGTCATCACAAAAGCTCAAAAGAAGGTGATCTCCAAGTTCAGGAAAGACTTGAGTGATGTTGGAGTTAAACTTCCAGAGCTTAATACAATGCATGAGGCCTATGTCTAAATGATGCTCATCAAGGACATTCTAGATCACAAAGAAAAAGTAGCAGAGCTTCTAGACATCTCTACATCACTGATTGATCGACAAGTTCCACCAAAGTCTCTCCCTAGGCTAGAGTCACAAGGGAAATTCACACTGTCTTGCTCTCTTGATAAAATCACCATGAATGATGCTCTTGTGGATAGTGGTGACAATGTCAATGTGATCTCAATGGAAATGGTGAAGAGTCTTGGTATTGAAAGCATGGAGCCAAACACATCTTCTCTCATGCTTGGAGATTCATCTTCTACAACCCCCATTGGCCTCATCAAGGATTTTCCTTTGAATATTGGAGAATGCACAATCCTTATAGACCTCACAGTCCTGAAGATGACAACTGAGAAGAGAGTTCCTTTGACCCTTGGCACACCATTTCTCACAACAGTTGGAGCATGTATTGACTTTTCAAACAAGAAAGTCACACTCTTCAATGTGAACAAGGTTGTCTCTTACCCAATCCAGTCTCCAATGGATGCTGGGTATTGTGGAACAATCACTTGTGAAGACACATCCACTAAGAAGACTCAAGCTGAAGTGGCTGTAATTGAGAAAGAATATCTTACTGGCGAGTCTTCACAAGAGTTGTGTGTAGAGCACTTGGAAAGTGCTAAAAGGAGAGGGTGAGTGTAGCAACAAAAGCTGCTCATGGAGCCATTGAGTACAAGATCAAGTGCAAAGGAAGGTCTAAGCCATTCTCCAGTGCAAGAATCACCATCACTCTTGAGGGTTGGAAGGACCCTCCTTCTCACTAACTAAAAGAAAAGGTAGTCAAGCTAGTGACTTAAAACAAGCTCACTTAGGAGGAAGTCCCATGATTATCATGTATATATTTATATATCTATCCATTCTTTTGTTTTAAGATGTTTGAATAAGATTAAGGGCAAGTTTGGGGGAAATCATACACTTCCCAAAGGTCATGCCCAATGTTCCAAGGTCACAATGCTATCCATCCTCATTCCCTTCTCTCATCAAGCAAACTCCAAGTAAGTGCATCCTACCTTTGTAAATATTTAGTTCATTCATATTTTATCTCTCTTTGGATCTCTCTTCCAAGTTTACTCTCACACAAGGGACTGTGTGAAGTAAGTTTGGGGGAGAGTCTACTGTCTCACATTCTGTTTTGTTTTGTTCTCTTGTCATGAGTCTCATGCATTGTAAATACTTATTGGCATAGAAAACCCACAAAAATTTGAAAATTTTGAAAACCCAAAAAAACATGTACATCACTTGCATTTCTAGAAGAGTCTAGAGCATATAGCTTGCATTCACTTGCATTGGGAGCAATAATTTTAAAACACTTTGTAAAAAGCACTTGTCAAGAGCTCAAAGTGACACCCTAGTTAGACATATCAAGTAGCTTGAGCATCTCTTGAAAGCCTTGCACGCTTCGAGCCTTGAAAACTCTTCTTGAAACATGTTTGCTTGCTTGAAATTGACATTGTTCTTGAAACCAGCCCCAATCTGAAATTTAGCTTAATGAACTTAATCTCTCTTGCATATGGGCACTTGCATACTTGATCATGGATCTCATACACATTTGTGTTATCTTTTCCATTTTACCACTCTTTTGTTAACCCAAATAGTACTCCACACCCTTGAACCCAAGCCATTCTTTTGAGACCAAACATTTGATTTGCATGAGTGATGCCTCTTTTGATAGCTTTTCATGTACAAAATCTTGAGAGTATTGGAGGCGCCATAGGATTGTTCTCATCTCTTGCTAGCATAGGAACCTCTTTTGAGCTAGCATCTAGGATGGTGAGTGGGTTTATGTGTTCTAAAAGTTAATATCTTGAGTTTTGGATGAGAGATTATGAAAAAGTTGAGGTACAGTGTACATTGAGAAAAGAAAGAAAGCCACAAGGGACCAAAAGAAATGAAAAGAATCTCTAGATTGTGTCTAAAGAACCCATTCCCCTTAGAAGAAAAAAAAAAGTTAGAGTTAAGAAGTAGAAGGTATGTTAAGAGTCTCTAGTTGGTTGTGTTAATCATTAAAAAAAAAAAGAGAGAGAATCTTGTTCATTGGGCGAGTGATGTGATTAAAGGTTATTTGGGACCATGGGATGAAGAAAAAGGGTTAGAACTTGTGATCACTTAGGAAAAGGGTAGAATGATGAGAATAAGACTATGTATGAATGAGTTGCCTCTAGTCTTAGATAAATTTTGCATAATGATCAAGCTCCTTGTTCTTGAGTGATAGCCACTAAAAAAAAAAGAAAAAATGATGATGCATATGAGCCTTCTTCTTCATTCTCATTAGACCATTCGCTTGCCTAGCCAAATGATTGAGATCATATGTCCATTTGTGAAATTTCACCTTGTGTGTGTGTGTGTGAACTAATGTGAGGGTTGGTTTAAAGAGCTTGTAAATTGAAGAGCTTTGCACCTTGCTTAAAGGCATAAGAATGTGTTGATAGGCCTAGAGAATCTAGAGTATAATAAGAGAGTGTGCTCATGATATTTTCTATGTCTCTTTAAGATGTTAAGTTGAGTTCTAGATGTGTTTCTTTTGGCCATGAGCTCCCACCTTCGAACCTCTCTTCCTATGAGTTCTAGAAAGTTCACTTAAGGACAGTAAAGAACAAGTTTGGGGGAGTTGATATCTTGCATATTTACATTGTTTTATCCATTCATCCAATTGCATTTTGATCATATAGATTCAGATTTAGTCATTTCTAGGTTGCATTTTGCATACATGAGTCTTTATTAGGTATTGGAGTACCCTTGGAGTTATTGGGGGTGATTGGAGGCATTTAAGGCCCAAAAGAGGAGTAAAGAGTGATCATTGAAGAAAGAGGTCCTGGAACGACCTCCAGGAGCGACGTCCATAGGTTGCTCCAAGCCAGAGCGACCTCCTGGAGCGACGTCCATAGGTCACTCCAAGCCAGAGCGATCTCCTTGAGCGAGGCACCTAGGCCGCTCACCTTTTTATCAAATCCGGAAGCCGAAATAGCCCCTGGAGCGACGTCCATAGGTCGCTCCCAGCCAGAACGACCTCCTGGAGCGACGTGGCCAGGTCGCTGCGTGTCTTTGTTTGGACGAAACTTAAGTTATTTCAGGGACCTTTGGTTATTTTATTTTTATTTTTTTACACTTGCCTAAACCTAAGTTTAAGGACTTATTGTAGCCTACCAGACAGATTATCTTTGATCTTGAAGGGAAAACACAAAAACCTCTTGGAAAAGTTCATTTCTATGAATCATTCTTCATTGTTCTTGTAATCTTGTTTATTTCTTTCCATTATCTACTTATCTTTACATGATTAAGCTTGAATCCAATATGGGTTTGAGAGGAATCATGAAGATTAGTGAGTAATCACCTTTGAATTCATGGGATATGGAGATTAAGGGTGATTAGGCTAAAACTAGGATGTTTAGTGTAGATTTCTCTTATTCCTTGCTACTACAGTATTCTTAATGCACCTTTTGAGTTGGCCTCTCAAAGGTTGAGCTTTAGGCATGTCCCACCTCACAAGGTGTTCGATGAAATGCATGAGTCAACTCTCCTAAGCTTTTAACATACTTTACCAAAGACATTTGTTGTTAAAGATGTTAAGATGGCTAATAGACTTGTTCTTAAAAATTACTTCTATAACATTCAACCGAAGACATTTGATGTTTGAGTTATATTAGTAAATGAGCATTTATCTAGACATAGAGCTTTCTTAGAAATGTGTCTAGGCTTAAGGTTGATAGTTTGATTGATCATTTGCCATTTTTAGTTCAAAGTTTGATCACCCAAGATCTAATCCCTACTCCCATGAGTTATCCTTTCTTTCAATCAAGGAAGTTATTTTAATCATCGCTTTTCTTATTCTTAGTTATAGTTCAAAACCATCATTTTATTCGATTGCATTTAGATTAAGTAAGTAATTGCATTCTCAGTGCTTTAAAATTCCCTAGAATTGGTTCAACAATCTTTTATACTACAACATTTGTTTTAGGAACCTTGAAAATTTCTAACTTCAATTTGGTGAAGTGGAATCCGGTTGTTAATGTTGAAGGGAACAATGTGTGGAGTTTCTTGAGGACTATGGATGTTCTGGTTAACACGTTGCACGTGGCAGGGTATGTTTCCAATTTCCATAGGTTGTGAGCCGTGCGCGAGAGTGAAGGGAGATGGTGGTGCGAAGATGCTAGGGCTAAAGAGTTGGAAATATCTGATTGTGTGTTGTATGCTCCATGCCTCCATGGTGTCCCTTTTGTCAAGCCATGGATGCATCGTATGATGAATTGGCGGGTTAGTTGGCTGGAAGTGGAGTCAAGGTTGCCAAATTCAGAGCTGGAGGGTGACCAGAATGAGTTTGCTATGCAGGAGTTGCAGCTTGGTAGCTCATCCATCTGAGAAGAAAGACGTTGATTCTTTGACTTCATTCTTGAATCTTGTCCGGTAAATCAACAGCCAGACCAGTTGACATTTCCATGAGAAAGAGAGATAAAATAAGAAACTTCAAAGCTTCATAGATGCTCTTATTCTTCACATTCATATCAGACAATCCTTAATTACAAAGACAATTTGAGATTTTTGAGAATCAAAACCAGAGTATTCACCACTATTTCTCAAATCATTTGTAATTTATACTCTTATCATGGTTTGTAATCTTGCAGTAACGTTTTCATCTTATTGTGATGATTAAAAAGTGTACCTAACAGAGCGTACTAAAGAAAGTAAAAGAGATTATTAAGGTTGAGGAATCAGAGCAAAGGCTAGAGGGGGAAAGCGAATGTACAATCAGAATATCAATCATCACGAAGAAGATCAAACTGTCAAAGCAAAGGTATTCAACAGGCAGATCCAAATGTGTTCTCTCCACTGTATGTCATGTAGAGAAACCCATCTTCGTCCTTGTGTTCTTCATAGATTGCAGACATCAAAGCAGCTGGTTCATAAGAACAAGTAAAGAGAGACCAAAAAAAATCAAGACAGGGAAGCATAGATTGAGGGAAGCATTGAAAAGTCTCAAATCTTTAATTACCAGTTGGGGGTAAGGTGTTCTTGACAAAGACAAAGATTGCTTTCTCAGCCCCAAGCTTGATTCTTTTGCGCACAACGTACACAAATTGTCCAACGGTTAGATCAGCTGGCACGAGATACCTTAAGAGAAGAAACAAAACAAGATCAGGTTTTAAAAACAATGTAAATGTGATAAACTCGCTTAAACTAAGCTCAACCGTGGAACAAGCTAAGAATCATAAAGCAACAGTTTGAAAAAAGGATCAAACTCACTTCTTCTTGTCAATGTCAGGAACATCACTCTGTCCAGCCTTCTCCACGATCACCTGTATTCATATTCTTATCAGAACACTATATAGTTAAAAAGAAACTGGTTGTATCCTGTGACAGAGAGAAAAGTTCAGGGGAACGTACAGGAACTCTGTCTTGGTATTTCTCTCTGATACGACTAGATTCAGCCATTCTAACCTCTGACAGAAACAAAACCAAGAAATCAATTAGATCAAACACAAGCGTAGAAACTAGCATCAAAGATCAAATCAGAACCATATCCAAAAGTTATATATAACAAGGATCAGAATCAAACAAGAACAGTAAACGCTCGACGAGTGGTATCGATCAAGAGAGAGAAGAAAAAAACGGAACTTACCCAGAGGATTAGAAAGCTTGAAGGAGCTTTTTGCCATGGCGATTCGATTAGTATCTGCGATTATTACGAGAGAATAAAAAGCAAATCTTTAGCCTTTTTGGCGAAATCGCGATGGAACCCAGCAGAAACTGTAATTGATAGAACAGAGGCGAAATCAAACATATACCTGAAGAAGAACCGAATCGATGATCAAGAGAAAGTAGGGTTTGGTGATCAAAGCCTGAGAAAAGAAAGAAGGAAGAGAATATTTAAAGATGTATTTAGGGTTTAGTGATTGTTTCCTACACGGCACCCCTAACTTGGATTTTACTATTTATTCTTAATTATCTTCGATATTACGTTCTTGTCTTACGTCTGCACGAGTACACGACTATCGTCGGCGTTTGTTGGGCCTTTATAGGCATGGGCATATTATCCATAATCCATAACTGAACCCCTATCTGAACCGAAAATTTCGATAATTTCATCAAAACACCCAAATTTTGATTTGCTGATATTTTGGTTATCGAGTATGGGTCCGGTTTAATCTGAAACCCAAATTAGAATCTGAAATAATCGAAGTGTATGTATTATGTAGATAAATATATACATGTATTACACGAAGTCGACAATTTCCAAAACACGTTTTGTTATTTCCAAAGTTTGAGAGACATGTTTCTTAGCTCTTATCAGTTCATCTTACTTAACAAAGTTTGCGTTGCTATGATTATATATTATGTGAGTTTTCATACATTTGTCTAATGTTATCATTTAATAACATAGATGACATGACAATTTCAGTAATTTTTACATATTTATAAATCTTCAGATCTTGTTCTACTTCGTTGGCGTCATAAAAACGAGTATCAATAAATCAAATATCAACAATTATGATTCATAAATTTAAGTTATATGTCTTATGTTTATTTGTTTTCTTTGAAATTTAATTCAGTCAATCCGAAACCGATACACTAAAACCCGAACCTAAATGATATGCGTTAATTTCAGTATAATCTGAGCCGAAACCGAAACTGATGTGTTATATCTGATCCCGATCTAAATTTAAGAATTTTGTTAAAATGGGACATGAGAGGTATTACAAAAAATAACCGATATTTGATATATCTGATCTGACTCCGAATGGATATCCGAGCGCCAAGACCTTTATATGGGTGTTGGGCGTTTTGGTCTTACTGTAATCACCGAATTAGGGGGTATTATTAGATTATATAAGTATGAAACGCAAGACCTTCCAATATATAGGTAACTAGGTAATTCTCCTGTACTCATTCACGGATATATATTTTTATAAAAGAATAAAATTTTATAATAATTGACTGATATTTAGTTTTAATTTTGAATCAATTTATATGTATAACTTATATTAATCAATATTATATTATTCTAATTAGACATATGATTTTTGATATACTATAGTAGGTTTGATTATTTTTTTGGATCAACAATCGATTTGGTTATCAATTCGATATATCGGATAATATCTATTTTACGAATTCCATAATGATAATATTTATTCTAAATATAATAAAATTTTGATTAATTTTATTATTTTCATTTCGATTGGTTATTTCTTATATATTATAATTAGATCATGTACAACTTAATATATATTATGTTTAAAAATAAATAGCTAATAAGCTCAAGTGTTTGATTCAATATTACATACATTAATATAACGATAATATTTTGAAGCCTCATGCATATATATAAATTCTACAAAAGAACTAAATTGCAATTGGTTAATATTTATTTTTATTTTTTAAAATGTTTTGAGACATCATGTCATTTATATGTATAAAATTAAATAGATTATTATTATTATAAAATTATATTTTCGTATTGTAGTTAGATCTTTAATTTTAGATATAAGTTAGATTAGTCGATTCATTCATGTTTTGACTATATATTGAGTCAAATATATTTTAAATTAAAAATGGTATAATTATTTTTTTATTTTAGTTAAATCAAATGAAATTAGTTTTATTTATCTCTTAAATATACATGTATTTTCATAATATTTATCAAATTATATGTTGATTTCTAAAAAATAATATAAAATAAAGTGTAACTGATAAATATTTTGGATGTTCATGAACGTATGTATTTTCTTACTTTGAAATTATATTTTTTGTTATTTAAAATATGTATTAAAGGGAATATTACCATTTTGTGAACTTTCCTTTTTAATAAAATCATATTAGTCACATATTATTTTGTTTTAAATTTTTTTGTAAAATTACATAAATGTTTTCTTTTTATTATATATGTTATTTAGAAAAAGTAAAAAAGAAACTAAATCAATTTTTTTAATAATAATCTTTAAATGTAACAATTTAACTTTCCTTTTTAATAAAATCATATTATATACATATATTTTCGTTTTCAAATTTGTTTTAAGATTTATAAATGTTTTCTTTTTATTATATATGTTATTTGGAAAAATATAAAAAAATAAACTAAATAGCAAAATTAATAATAATTTTTAATTGTAACAAGTCGTTAAGGGTATCTATGTAATCAACCATCACGAGAGTTAACGTGAACGCGACACGTAGGAAACTGACTTTATTATAGACTTGAAATTATATTTTCTATGTATTAAAGGAAATATTACTACGAACTTTTCTTTTTAATAAAATCATATTATTCACATATATTTTTGTTTTAAAACTTTATAAATGTTTCCTTTTTATTATATATGTTATTAGAAAAATTAAAAAAAGAAACTAAATAAAAAATTAATAATAATCTTTAAATGTAACAATTCAACTTTCCGTTTTAATAAAATCTTATTATATACATATATTTTCTTTTTTTAAATTTGTTTTAAGACTTTGTAAATGTTTCCTTTTTATTATATATGTTATTTGGAAAAAACTAAAAGATAAACTAAATAACAAAATTAATAACTTTTAAATTTTATAATTCATTAAAGCTATCTATGTAATCAACCGTCCCGAGAGCTAACGTGAGCCAACACGTAAAAAACGGACTTCTCAAATAATATTATAGAGATGTCATGTTTTCTTTTTTTTTTCCAAAGCTATTCAAGCCAAAATAAGCAGCGCCATGGCAATATTTTGTTAGACCGAGATCAAATAGTATTGATTTATTTATTAAATTAATTGATTGGATGTTACAAAAATCAGATTATTAAAATTAAATATCTAAACTAAAAAGGGAAAATTGACAAAAAAAAATCCATGAACTTTCGAATTTAAGCCAAAAAACCATGAATTCTCAAACAAACTATTTTATACATCAACTTTTCAAACACGAAAAAATCGCCTATTGTTATTGACCAAGACATTTTATACATGATGAAAGTCAGACCGTTAACTTCGTTAATGAATAATAAACATTGATTTTTTGTGTGTTTAAAATGACTTGATCAATGAAAGTATAAGATTTTAAGTTAATAGCTTACCAAATTTGTAAAATTTATTAAAAAAATATAATTAATGACGTGACGTCGTGGGTTCTCGGTTTGTTTGGGTTGCATAAGTGGTGCACGTGACCAAGCAGAAGGGATTGAGAATAAGAGTTAATTGGCTAAATATAAAAAAAGAATGAGAAAATTAGCAAACCACATATGATGGGATAAGTTATCTTCTAGCAACAAAGGTACATGGTGTAAGGATTTAGGGTATTAATCTAATTAGAGAGAAAGTGGTGTGTATAGGATGCAATTTCACTTAGGTAAACTAGAAAAGGTACATCTGCAATATGATTTTGAACTATTGAACTGTGGTTAAATTGAGTTCCATCTATTTCTTTGTAGAGAATACGTTAAAACTTTTAATTCAGAAAGTTTTAGACCGAGATTTTAACTTGGTATGGAACTAATGCTATATGATTTGTAACGGGAAATAGATCCCAAAAAAATTATTTAATAGTATAATAGAATTCCATCATTCATGAACTTATCTGGTTGATGAATAGTATTACTCCATTGAATACTGATCAATCATGAAATATTTTTGTTCTGCTAATAAAAATAATTTATTAAAAAACAAAGAGGAATAAAGGATTCAACTGGGTAATATATTTGGTTACAGAAATAAAAATCTTGAAAGTCTTACAAAACAATTTCCAACATAAAGTAATATTTATCCAATTAAAGGCCAAAACAAATACATCCGCATTATGCTTGTAACGGCATTATTTATAAAAACATCATTACGAGTTCTAGACAAATTAAACATTATAACAACAAAAACGCAAAAAAGAAAAAAAGAAGAAGAAGAGCTAGTCTGCTCGTATATGAAAGATGTTCCAACCAAATCAAGCCTGTGCATTAGCTCCAGCAACAATCTCAAGGATCTCACCAGTGATCTTAGCTTGACGCTTTCTATTATACACCATAGAAAGCGACTTCTTAAGATCAGAAGCATTATCTGAAGCACTACTCATTGCACTCATTCTAGCGGCAAGCTCACTTGCCAATGACTCCTGTAAAGCCCTTAGAATCTGGCTGTTAAGATACAGAGGCAACAAAGCATCAAGAATCTGAACAGGGTCTTGCTCGAACTGCAAGATCGGTGAGAAATCAGCAGTTGGTGTCCGAAAAGTCTCTCTTTCAACCGTCAGTTTCCCTTCTTTTGTCGTTAACCTGAAGAGCTCGTCTTCAGCAGCGTCCACACAGTTCCCATTAATGTCACAGATCTCTCCTTTGGGAGATAGAGGCAGTAGCGTGTGGATCACGGGTTCTGATTTGACCAGAGAGACAAACTTTGTGTACAAGAGCTCGACTTTGTCGACTTCTTCGCTTATAAACAGAGAGAAGACATCATCAGCAACAGCTTGAGCTTCTTTAGCGGTCGGTAAGGTTCCGGCTTCGAGGTACCTGTCGACGGGGATGTACGGACGACGGAGGAAATAAGAGTTTCCCTTCTTCCCCACGCTAATGACTGTGTAGTCAAGACCTAGGCCTTGAAGCTCTTTGATCCTTGCCTCAGCTTTCTTGATGATGAAGTTATTGAATCCACCGCATAATCCTCGGTCTCCTGTTACGACAACGAGTGCAACTTTCTTAACTGGTCGGATTTTGGTTAAGGGCACATCGATATCATCGGTTTGAAGCTGTTCGTTAATGTTGTAAAGAACTTCAACTAGGGTTTCCGAGAATGGCCGGCCATTGACCACAGCTTCTTGAGCTCTCCTGACTTTTGCTGCAGCGACAAGCTTCATGGCTTCAGTGATCTTCTGAGTGTTTTTGACGGAATCGATACGGTCCCTGAGCTCACGAAGAGAGGATTGGATTGGAGAAACAGAGGAAGATCTTAAAGGAGATGAGTTGTGGTTTGGGAGAGGAAGTGGGTTTAGAACTGATCGGAAGGACCAGGATGAGGAATCAGAAAGAGATGTTTTTGATGAAACCCACATTGTTGTTAGATTAGTACAAGCCATGGTTCTTGATGATCTACGTTCAAAGAGAAGGAGAGATGTTTCTTCCCTCTTGTTGTTGTTTGTTTAGAATGTGTTTTGCTTTAACCTTATCTATGTTTTTTTTATTGTAAGAAAAAGTATTGAGTGGAGGGAAGAGATGGTAATGGATGAGGTTTGGAGATAAGGTTTATTCTCCTTTAGGTTTTTATATTCTTCAACGTAGGACACATCTTGTTGACGTGGTGTTGTATAAGTGGATGGTTTGAGATCTTCTTTTGTTTATCAGCCAACCAATGCTTATGAGCTTTGAGTCTTTCCCAATGAGAGGAAATAAGTATCTGATAACAAGTGATAGACATTAGTGTGTTTTGGTTTAGTCAGATCCTTTGTATTTTTATACAGATGAATACCATACATGGTAGTACGTTACATGCATGATTTGAATGGCATCTCCTGCAGTCCTCCTGCAAATTTTTGCTTGCTTTCTTATATATTTCTATCACCAAAAATATTTTATTACGACAAGATCAGCTCAACATTTTCATAGATCCTAAAGAATTATATCTTTTAGGAATTTTTATTAATTTTTAGTGATGTTTTATCGATTTTGTTATTAAAATTATATACATCTAACATATTATTGTCGAAAGCGGTGTTGTTACAAGATAACCAAACTCACACCTCGGATTTCCCCGGTTTATACCTTTTAGCAAACATAATTATAGTTTAAAAAATTGAACTTCTCGAGTTACAAGATGACATAGAACAGTAAGACAGTTTCAAGATCAACAAACTCTCACCTCGGATTTCCCCGGTTTAGCTATTCATCTCAAACAAAACCGCTTTCGGGTGAGACAAGAACAAAAGATTATAGGTATCAATGTATCCTAACAAGTTTCCCTTGTGGCTGCAATTTTCTATCTCGCATCATCGCACAAAACTCCTCAAAGTCTATTCTTCCATCCTGTGCAAAAACCGGCTAAATGTTAAACCGGAAAATTAACGAACCAGGAAATTATAAAGGCGATTTACATTATTATTATTATTTTTGATTTTTTTCAATTTACTTTATTTTTGTCGACTTGTGATATGATATCTTTTGCAATAGCTACATCTCTCACAACACCCTTCATCAAGCTATACTTCGTTATGTACCTTTTATGTATAAACAAGAAAGGTAAATATAAAAAAAAAACTACATTTACAAGGTTATCTAAACACAAAAGTGATTGATGGAGGTTATTCATTAACTTACCCGCTACCATCCTTATCAAAGTACTGAAATGCTTTGTCCAAATTTTCATCTGTAACCAATACATGTCTCTTCTTCATAACTGAGATATACTCGTAGAGGTCCATTCTTCCATTGCCATCCACATCAGCCTGGACAAAGTTTACCGTTATGTATTTTTGATAAACAAAACCGTAATAAGGTTTCTTGATACTCACGGCTTCCATGAGTTTCCTAGCTTCAGTTAGAGATAGATTAGAATGAGATCCGGGACTTTTCAGCCCGGATCTGAGTTCCCCGTAAGTGATTGACCCGCTTCTGTCAGTATCCATAGCCTCAAACATGTATTTATCATCTTTGATTAGCTCTTCTGCTAGACCTTCTGCTATAACCTGCAAATAAAACATACAAATCACAATCCAAAGTCAAGCAGTGGTCGATAAGGTATGAATTTTTTTTATTTGATTTGACAACACAAAGAGATGGTAACTCTTACATTAAAAGCAAGCTTCTTAAGCTGGTTCATTGCTCCGAATCTCTTCAGACGCAATACGAGAACATTATCAAGAGGCTTATATGGAGCTTCTCTTTTGATCCAAGGATGTTCTACAAATCACAAAAGGATTGCTAGCTCGAGACAAACATAAATAAACTCATACTATATTTTCAGACAGAAGTAGATAAAAGACTTCAAGTTTTACATATTGTCATACTAAAGCATATCATTAGAATCACAAACAAAAGGGCTTACCAAGAACATTTGAAGCAGAGATTCGGGTCTTAGGGTCTTTGGTTAACATCTTATTGACAAGATCTTTGGCGCTCTCAGATACACAAGGCCATGGTTGGCTCTCCAAATCAAGTTTTCCTTTCCTAATCTCAGACTCTACATTAATAACACAGAGGGGTTTAGATATAATTACAGATCCTCGCCTCAAGAAAATGTACAAATCAAGTCATTTAGTAGTGCTTAAGCTCTTACCAGTCTTAAATGGGTGTTTGCCGCAGAGTAGGAGGTATAATATAACACCTGCACCCCAGATGTCAATCTCTTTTCCGTAGCTTTTCCCTTGTAAGACTTCAGGAGCAACGTAGTATTTACTCCCCTTCAGTTCTGTTCCTACTGTTGTGAATCATACGAAAGAAACACAGAGTTTGTGTCAAAAACAGAGTCTTAAGTATCAAAAACAGAGTTAGTAGCAGAGTCAAAACAGAATCAGAAACAAAGTCAGATGCTCTGTTGAAGCTTATGCGACATGATATACTCTTAATACATCTTGGCTCACCTTGTTTGATGTAAACAGAAGATCCGAAACCGATAGCTTTGAGCACAGTGTCCTCATCCTCACTCGAGAACAAGAAATTCTGAGGCTTGACATCACGATGAATCACACCCTTCAAATGATAAATCTGCAAAGCATTCACAATCGACTTCAAGATCCCAGCAGTATCTTTCTCCGAGTAATAGCTAGAGGCTTCGATCCTACTGGATAGCTCTCCACCACCACACAGTTCCATCACTATGTGTATACACTCTTTGTCCTCGTACACTCTCTTGATATTGACGATGTTGGGCTGGCCTGAGAGGTGAAACATGATCTCAATCTCCTTCTTCACAGCTTCTTTCTCGTCATCGCTTCTTAGCTTACTCTTTGGAATGGATTTGCAGGCGTAGCTTCTGCCTGAGGAAATCTCCTCGCACATGTACGTTGTTCCCAAATTACCTTTGCCTAGTTCCTTACCGAAGCTATAAAGCTTTTTGATGTCTTCAAGTGGCTTCCCTAGTATGTTCTCTAGCTCTCCATCCGACATAGGTTCGTTATTACTCCAGGAGCAACCCATTGGTCTGGTGAGAATTGTCAAAGAACTTTGTTAGTGTTGTAAGAAGATGAACTTAGATCGTCAAACTGTAAGATTCAGGAGCTGGGACTTTAAGAGTTGATGGAAACATACATATGTAGTAACTTGGTCTTCTTTCCTTGCCAAACGTTGGTCTTTTAACTATTCGAACTAGTCTTGGTCCCTTTTTATAATATCTGCGTTTTTTCGTCAGCATTGTTAATTTAGTATATATATATATATATATTATATATAATTGGACTTACTCCTTCAAGACTTTGACTCTGGTCACAACGCGTATGAAAATTGAGAGTTATGATATCTACGTACACAAATGATCTTTTTAGATAAAGGTTAAATGATTTTTTTTTTTGATCAAAGATTTTCATACTAAAATTGTGAAAAGAAATAAAAATAGTTTCAAGGCCAAAGACTATAGTTTGCCTAACTCATTGCTAATTAGAAACAACCCATATTAAAAGATCATAAGAATCAAAAGCCCAACTATGTTGGTCTAGTATTGTATCAAAGGAACTAGGATAAGACCCGCGCCTTGCGCGGGATGAAGCTATTATTTTTATTATGGCTTTAAAAATGAAACAATAGTTCGGTTTCATTCGGATTAGAGGTGTTCAATCCGGATATCAGGTTTCGGTTCAGCTCGATTTTTTGGTATTTGGATCATTAAAATATAACTACTATTCTAAATCTATATGTACTTCAGTTTGATTTGGTTTATATACCATCGGTTTTCAGTTTATTCAATTTTATACCAAAAAAAATAATTATTTAGTTTGAGATCATATTATATATTATACAAATATATAATATGATCATATCTAGAGTCATATTGTCACATAGTCATTTATTAAAAAAATATTATATATTTAAATAAAAGAATAAAAAACAATAAGGCTTCTATCATCTAATAAAATGATCAAATCTAGAATTAATATCAAAACACTAAATTTTGAAAATAAAAATAAAAAAACAAAACAGAAGCATGAAAAAAAAGTTTTTATATTCTTCCATATTTAGTGTTCATCAAACCAATATGTCTTCGATTGAACACAACTATGTTTGTTTAAAGATAAAAAAAAGTTGTAAAGCATTTCAACTAATTGTTGTCCATCAAATTTATAATCTTTACTTCAATTTAGTTACTGGTAAAAATGCAAAAGATCAAAATAAGAAGTCTTAGTTGTAATAAATTCTTAGCTATTTACAAATTATAATTATAGTTTAACTCATGTAACAAATAGATATTCATGCGTCGTAATAAATATATACATATTTACATGTTTCAGTTTAATCGATTATAAATCAAACCATATCCAAATCCTATGGTTTTTATAAAATCACATCCATTCGGTTTGTATGGTATATACCAAAAATAACCATATTATCGATTCTTAATATCTTTTAAAAATATAAAATTAAAAAAGAACTAAGATATTTAAATCATTGATAACAAAAAAATTCAATGTGAAAAATTTAATAAGTTTATAATTTATAAATGTTCTGGAAAATTTATTGAAAATTTTGAAATTAAAATATTTATGTAATCTTATATGGTATATAGTTTAATCTGTATATATATATTTGTTTTATTATTGAAGGATACTTTTTACTTATATGGTTTTAAAATCATGTATATCTTTTTATAATAAAATGTTAAACTATTGATCATTAATTTTTAACATAATAATTTTAATAGTTTAGTTATTTATTCTCGTTTTTTAAAATTCAAAATATAACCTATACGAAAAAATCTAAAGTTTAATTTTATACCTAATTTGATTTTTTAATTTATTTTAATAATATAAAATTAAAGAAAAATGATGGAGGATATATAAACTGTTATCAAATATTTATTATTAGAATCATCAAGTGTCATATATATATATTAGTCATTTATGGTAATTCCGTAGATTTTATTTATGGAAATAAAATAAAATAGTAATTATATCTTAGGAAACAATCATTAAGTGTCATATATATATATTAGTCATTTATGGTAATTCCGTAGGTTTTATTTATGGAAAGAAAATAGTATATCATATCATTATATCATATAGTTTGACTAACTAATGTATCTAGCAACCTATAAAAATTCAATGTAGACTTACTTATTTTTCAATTGAATCTAATTGACTACCTAATTGAATGACACCTATGCATTGGAGTCTCTTTTAATTAATACGAAATTGAGGTTACATCTTTTCAAATGTTCCTCAATTAATATATAGGGGATTAGCGGAGAAAGGTTGATCAAATCCTGATTTGCATGAGTCTGGACGAATTTATCGGCGATGAGAATCTAAGGGCGAGAATCTTGTCCTTTATCTGTCTATCAAGAAGCTTGGAGATCACATCAGTTGATCGGAACATGTTCCGATGTAGTCTGTTATTCCTCTCATTCCAAATCCAATAAGTACGTAGTATTGCCATCCCAGTAGAATAACTTGTCGTCTCCCTCTCTCCTTGGTAATTTTGCAGGAATTGAAGAGACTCACTCCAGTTTTGCCTTAGATGCACTCCACATTTAGTAGCAACTCTTGACCAAAGGGTCCATGAGAATGAGCAATCGAAGAGGAGGTGATCTCTAGTCTCATCCACTACACCACAAAGGAGGCATGTAGAGGCAGTTTGTAGCCCCCATCTCAACAATATGTCGCGTGTGGGACATCTATTCAGGGTAAAGAGTCAAGCCAAGAAGCCGTGTCGAGGAATTCCCTCTTTGTTCCATATCACTTTAGCCCATGGTACTAGTTGTTCCTCCCCTCTTAGTTTTTAATAGACAGCACTAGTGTTGTACCGAGTCATAGCTTTGTCATCAACTCTCCATTCATAACAGTCTTCAGCTTCCCCAAGAGTTAGGGTGGTCAAGTAAATCTGAACTTGTAGCAGTTTGTCTGATCTTGCAGGAGGAAGTAACCAATTTCCTTCAACATTTAGGTCTGCCAGTGTAGCAGTGTGAGCAATTCCAAGTCTGGACTGAGAGGCACCTAATAAGAAGGCTTCCATCGACCCAAACGGAGACCAGTTGTCTATCCAAAATCGACATAATCGCCCATTTCCCACACACACTTTTATCCAGGTGAAAACTTTATCCCTCATTTTAATCAACTTGTTTGCTAGCCAGGATTTTTTTGGATGAGTCCTTGCTGTCCAAAAATTATTTAAGCATCCTCCCAAGACTTCATTCCTATACCAAGCCCCCCACACCGAGCCCGATTTGAAAAATAGTAACCATATGAGCTTTAGACAGCATGCCGTATTCCAAGTCAGTAGGTCCTTTATACCTAGTCCACCCTGATCCTTCGTTTTTGTGACATCTTCCGATGAAAGTCTGGCTGAATAGCTTCCCTCAATATCCCCCTTCCATATGAACATCCCACACATTGAATTGATACGCTTAATACACTCCTTGGGTAGTAGAAACTTAGAACACCAGAAGTTGTTTATCCCTGCTATGACCGTCTTGATTAGTAATAATCTATCTGCAAAAGACAAACTTCGAACCCTCCAAGAACTGAATTTTGTTTTTATCTGATGCAAGAGTACTGCGAAATTAGCGATGGACAGTTTTTTAGTACATAATGGAACGCCAAGATATCTCACTGGTAGGGAGCCTTGCTGCAAACCGGTAGAGGCCTTAATAGTATCCAGTTCCTGCATAGATAGACCCGAAGCGAAGAAAGAGGATTTTTGGACACTGACAGCAAGGCCAGAGCGAAGTTCAAACTCCTTGAGTACATGTAGCATGTTCTGCACTGAGGATAATGAGCCATCAATAAATTTAAGTAAATCATCAGCAAAGCAAAGATGAGTGAGCTTAGAGGAGGCACATCTGTCGTGATAAGTTACTCTGAGGTCCGAAGCTGCCTTGTTGAGCATCACTGATAGGAACATTCATGGCGATAACAAATAGGTAGGGAGAAAGCGGGTCTCCTTGCCTTAGCCCTCTGCTGCCTTTGAAGTAACCTTGTACTATGCCATTGTAGCCAACCGTGAAGTTCGTAGTACAGACACATTTCTTTAGCCATCCTATCATTGTGGGAGGTACGTTCAATCCTTCCAGACAGTTCAGTAGAAACTCCCAGGATAGAGTGTCAAACGCCTTAGCAATGTCAACCTTGATAGTGATTCTTTTAGGACCTTTCCTCTTGTGGTAGCCGTTTACTAGTTCACCCGCTAGAACAGTATTTTCAAGCAGTAATCTGTCCTTTACAAACGCAGTCTGATTAGGCACTATTAACGATGACAGCATGGGCTTTAATCTCTTCACTAATGGCCTTGACACCACCTTATAAATAGTGTTAAGGCAAGATATTGGTCTGTATTCAGTGATTAGTCAGGCGCCTGGATGTTTGGGGACCAGTGTTAATATCGTTGCGTTTGCATATGCATGTAAGAAGGAGTTGGTGAAGAAGTGTTGGATGGACTGGATGACTTCTTTTCCTACTAAACCCCAAGCAGCCTTGAAAATCCCGCAGTGAGACCATTAGGACCTGGAGCTTTATTAGGATTGAGTTTGTGCAAGACACGAGTGATTTCTTCCGGTGTAGGCAGAGTAGTCATCGCAGCCATAAGTTGAGGAGAGCAGCTATAACCGGTGATGTTGTAGAACCACACATGCAGGGAACAAATCTGAAGAGGATTGAGATCCGTAGGACCTAGAATACTTTGAAAGTGCTGAATCGCGTGCAAGCTTATAAGGAGAGGGTCAGTGATGAAGTCGCCAGTGGTAAGCTGGAATGAGAGAATGGAGTTATAGCTTAGTCTAGCTAGGAAGACTGTGAAGAAGTAGGCAGTGTTTAGATCGCCTTCCCTTAGCCAGTTCATCCTAGATTTTTCCTAAAGTAACTCTCTTCAATCTGTCTCAGGAACATCCATCTTTGAAGTGCGTCTCGTTCCTGCAGTAGGTTACTTTCAGTGGGTGCATTCAGAGCGTGTACATGCACAGCTTGTAACAAACAGTTAGCCTCACTAACCCTCACTTGAACGTTTGAGTAATTCTCTCTATTAATATGTTTTAACACTCCTTTAACACTCTTAAGTTTCC